ACAAGGTCATCCTTTTGGTCTGCCCATGGCCCAGCAGCCAATGTGAAGGTGTGCCCTCTGCTTTCCACCTGCGGTGTGTTCTCTGAGGCTGCAGATCCACGTGGACCTCGTGCGCGCTGTGTAATGAGACTTGCAGGGACTCATCTTTCTTCTCACCGGGCTCAGCTGGACTACTATAAGGGACAATCCCTCAGGAGTGTGGAGGTGGGGGACTGTGCTTCACTTGGTATAGATGAGGTAAACCAAAGCTCATTAAAATGAAGTAATTTGCCCAAGGTCTGCCTGACTTGCACAGCTCTTTATAGAAACGCGGTGAGTTCAATAATGTCCCCCCCTAACCTCAGAATGTGACTGTATTTGGAAATAGGGTCTCTGCATGTGGAATTACATTAAGATGAGGTCATATGATTTAGGGTGGGCCTTAAGTTCTATGACTGATAAGAACAGGGGAGGTCACACAGACACACAGCCATACCATGATGGAGGCAGAAACAGAATAAAGCAGATACAAGGCAGAGGACAACACCAACGGCTGCTGGGAGCCATCAGATTCTGGAAGAGGCAAGGGCTCTCCTCTAGAGCCTTCAGAGGGAGCACAGCCCTGCTAACACCTTGACTTTGGACTTCCAGCCCCCAGAACTGGGGGAGTATACATTTTGGTTGTTGTAAGCCACTCGGTTTGTTGCAGCAGCCACAGGAAAAAAATATAGAAATGCTAATACTCTGAGAGAGCCCAGTTCTTTAAATACCACATGTGGACTGTTTTCTTCGATCATAAGGACTTAATGACCTTAGCCTCATATGAACAATGATCTGTGGGCAGAAACACTGGATCTGTCCTGGCTCCAGAACCTTAGGCAACCAAGCCTCTTTGATCTCTAGGCATTTCCATTTCCTCCTTTATACGTAGGGATAATAACTCTTTGCCCATCCTACTTAAGGTTTTTACAAGGCTAGAATGAAGCCACGTAGGTAAAAGAGGTGAGTAAGCTAACCTATTTTAACACTGCTGCACGTTTTTAATATTTTTATAAACTTCTAGGTCCTGGTAGCCAGAGGGCCCTGAGGTTTCAATCCAAGCTTTACCACTTACTAACTTCTAGACTTTGGGCAAGACCCTGATTTCCATTTTCCTTATAGAAAAGATGACAATAAAACCACCTCTTTCACAAGAGTGACATGGGGGGTGAACATATGGCACGTGTGAAGGTTTACCTCAATACCCTCTCATCTCTGCATTCCCCCAAGTGCCTGATACCTCACTTTGTATAAAATAAATATGTGTGTCACCAATAAGGTGCTCCAGCCCCACATTTACCCCTCATCCTAACCTCGCCAAGGAAGGACACACAATAGAAGATGATGCGAAAGTGGAGAAAGGAGCCAACACTTCCAGAACATGAAAAGATTAGGAGGACGTAGAGTACCCGTCCTCTTCCTTCTCTCCCACATGGTCTTTGGAGGAGGAGTGAAGAGATGTGACTAACGTAACGAGGAAAGCGAGGGGGTCGTGGAGACTGTGGGGACCCCGAGGAAGGATGGACATGGACTTCCAGCCTCTGGGCGCCACTTTGCTCTTCCCACTCTCAGGGCCTGTCACTCTTGCTCCAGGAGACCAGAGAAGAGCAGGGATCCGAGCTGCTTAGAGCCACTCTATGCTCCAGGCATGAAAGAGAAGGGAAGAGGTTCTCTGCTGCTTTGCCCTGGGCAGCCCTGTTCACCCGGCGGGAACAGAGGAGGAAACCGGGAGGACACACTGAACGAGGATAGAGTACTAGACAGTGAAAGAAGCACCGAACTGTGGAAGACTCCAACGGGAATGAAGAAAACCTTCACCTAACAGCGCTCAAGAGCCATGTACACAGCCTACAGGTGAGCAGGCCCATGGGTTAGCAGCAATGCCCTCCCTTTAGCTCTCTCTGCACGGGTTTACCAAAGTTCCTCAGAACAGCAAACCTAACAGGCAAAACTGCTTCCGTGACTGAACTGTACTCTGCGGGTCCAACATCACAAGTGCTGGACAGGTGCAGATTTCTCCTGTTAAATCACGGGAGCCCTGATGAATCTGGAGAAAGATCTGCCCCAGCACATGATGGCTATTATTGGGAGCCCCTGGAATGCAAGCATTTCCGACTGTAGGATACAGAAAATCAAACTTTTCCGCATACAAACCATGTTTATTATGCCACACGTCTGTCTAAATTGGTCAAAGATCTAGTTTTTTTGTGTGTGTTTTTTTCTAAATCATACAGTTTTCCATCTCCTCCTTCCAACCCTGCTCCCTTTCTTTTTCTAAAGGAGAAGAAAGGAGTTCTTTATTCAGCAAGTCAAGTACTGGTTGGCCAGTCAGTGCACGAGTTCAGTGATGCTTTTAAACTAAATGCTTTGGCAGGACAGGTTGGTGGCTGGCCTCGAGGGATTCCCCCAGGCCACCTCTTAAAGTAAGAAGTGCATCCCCTCAAGTCAGGACAAAGTTCCGACTTCCCTCCTCATATGCTTTCCCCTTCCTTCTATTTCTCGCTGTCAGCAACGCATTTTCCAATCCCACCACCTTCTGAATCAGCATTACCCAAAACACAACTGACCCGGAGCCCTTCCAGGAAGCACACAGCAGATGCTCCATAAACTTCCCCTTGAACTTGATTCAAACCCAGACTCTGTGCAACTTGTGGTCAGCCAAGGTGTAAGAAGAGGTAGGGGAACTGGGTCTAGAACGAACTTCTGGGAAAGCCCCTGTTGCCACTGGAATTGTCCCCCACCCAACCAGGCCATGTGCCAGGAAGAGGCGTGGACCCCTGCAGAAAGGAGAAGCAATCGTACGTACAGTGATTTTGCTGGCTTGGTTCAGAGCTTCAACCCAGTCCTTCAGATCTTTCTGGTCATTGGCTTGCAGAAAATACCTCTGAGAGAGCGCATTGATGACTGCGGAAGTCGTGGGGAAGAAGGGAGAAAAATCCAGGTCAGAACATATGCAACACCAAGACTCCACAAACTAAGGTGCTTGAAGTAGCGGGGTGGAGGATCCCCATGTGGAAAGGCACCTGCATGACTATTTGGGAAACAGCAGGCTGCAATGCTCCCTCTTTAAAAGCATGGATTATCACCCAGCTAGTGTGGCTCAGTGGTTGAGCACCAATCCATGAACCAGGAGTTCGACGTTTCCTTCCTGGTCAGGGCACATGCCTGAGTTGCAGGCTCAGTCTCCAGCAGGGGGTGTGCAGGAGGCAGCTGATTGATAGTTCTAACTCATCATTGATGTTTCTATCTCTCTCACCCCCTCTTCCTTCTCTCTGAAATCAATGAAAACATTTTTTTAAGTGTGGTTCACTCCACTGGCCTCCAAGAATGACACCTGACATTAGCAACAACCTTAACATGCTCTTGTGCGGTGAAGAGGCTGCTAGTCTGCCATCAACAAGACACACGCTTGAACTGCTTTTTAGAGGTGCCAACAGAATTACATTCATGATGACACATTTATAATTTTGGCCACAGGGCCCCTGTTTCCACTGGCACAACTTGCCTGGGTTAGCAGTATTGTCTGTGGTTGGAAAAGAGAACAAAGCTTGCCTGAAATCAAATCATCAACTCTGTGACCTTGACCTCATTTTCAACCTGTTCTTTCCTCTGAGCCCTCCATTAGGGTCAACAATTTACTTTTGGGTTCATAATTTTTTTTTAAATAGATCTGTTGACCACAACATCGGAGAGAGTCATTTTCAAGCTTAGCCATGATATAAAAAATACTGGAAGAATCAGAGCACCTAAGAAGCTTGAACCAACCTGAAGTTGGGAGAGAGGACAACTCAAGGGACCACTTTACTCTCCTAGCACCAAAAAGCCTGAACTATTGAAGGGGTGAGAATCATGGGACACAGAATTCATTATTTCATTCATTCATTCAATACCTACTATGTGCCATAACTACTCTACATGCTGAGCATACAGCAATGACAAAGCAGAGGAATACCCCCCCTTCATGAACTTACATTCAGAATCATGCTATATATACGAGAGAATACCTGCTAGCTCAGAAACTGTTAGCATTCGCTTGTAGCACTTAGTACAGTACTGAGAATACAGTGGGCGCCAAATAAATACCGATGATTCAGTGACTTGAGGCCTCCATGGATTGGCTCTGCTTCCTGTGTCACCCCAACACTGTCACTCTTTGGGCGATACTAAATGAGACCCCCCCCCAACAGAATACTCCTTCTTTTCTATGATCCCCCCAACTTTCCGAAGTCTCCACCTTTCCTGAGCACACCACTACTGAGCTCTGAATGGAGGGTTCTAGAAACTTCTAGTAGATACCTTGCACCTCGCCCTGTGGAGTCAGGAAAACTTGCAACGCCATTGAACGTCTGTTTTAGGGTGATGGATAACTTTGTGGTGAGACCCAGGAAAGCAGTATCATTTGAGAGCCAGGAAACATCGCTGTGACTGAAGTCACTCACACACACAGGGTGTAAGTCAAAGGTGGTCACAAGACCATCTCCATGCCAAAGAGGAAGTTGCTGTAGGAGTTTTCAAAAAACCCATCTTCTGGCTCAGTACTTACCAAAGCAAAATGGAGTCTTTGGTTTCTGCTTTGGAGTGGCTATGCTCACCTATATCAAATAAAAACATAAAAGAAACATAACTATGCTTCTAACAATATTTATAAAGCATTTCCCCCCAATTTTTTGCTGAAACTTTTCTCACAAAAAAACAAAACAAAACAAAACAAAACAAAAAAACCCACATATAAATATGTGAACACTTTGAAAATAATAATTACGTGGAAACCCTGTACTCACCATCCGGATTAAGAAATAGGACATTATCAGCCCCATTTCTCAGAAGTCCTTTGTATGCCCCTCCCTGATAGAGTTCCATTCCCACCCCTCAGAGATAACCACTATCTTGATGTCAGTGTTCATCTTGATTTTTGCAAAAACACTTTTAATAGCCATTGACTCCTGACGAAATTCTCTTGGGACCGCAAAACCTATACTGGCCCCACTCACACTAGCAAGATTCTACTCCTCTCTCAGCCACCATGCCACCTGCCTAAACAGTTTTCCAAACTGACAGTGGTTTTGCCACAAATACATGGATTTCAATTAGCGCTCCCAGAAAGATGAGGCAGCTGGACACACTGATAGATTTCCTCTCTATCTACCCCGACTGCTTAACCATGAAAGCACACACTTCTAACATGTCCCTAGAGGGGCCGATGGAATCAAAGAGCATAACTATGTATTTAAGAAAAGGGCCTAAGAAAGCAGAACTATTTCTATACTTCCTGCTGTTTGATTTCATCTTGCTTTTTCAATCCTACCCCTGGCATGTACGTTCCTGTGCTTGTGTCTATGTGAATCCCCCTCACTGAGCTTCAAATACACTGAACGGATAAAGGAAAGCAGCTCATGTTCCATCCCATGCCCACAAAGACTAGGTGACTGCCCTTGATGGAGGATGGACCTCCCTGAAGCAGGCCTCCACCACTGTACCTGCGTTTTCCAAGGGGCCAGCCACCTTCCTCCGAGAACTATTCCCATGTTGCCATAATCCTCCTGTGGACACCATCCCTTCATCCCCTTTCCAGCAAGGACATTCTCCTACTTGTTCATACAGAGGGCTCCAGGAGTGGTTCTTGCTTTAACAGAAGGCATGAAGCCAGAAACTAAGGGGGGAAAATCTCAAGTCAAAATTAAGGTCTCCCAGGTGCTAAGGGTCAGATAATGACGGACCCACCCCTCCGTCTGAATTCTCGCTATGGGCTCCAAGTTCTTTCTATAAACCTGCCCAGATTCCTTAACAACTAACATTAATCCTGTCCCCAATACTTCATATGGGAAGTGAGGTAGTGGCCTATCAAAGGAAAGACAGGCAGTTCAGCCTCAGCTCTGATGCCAGAGGACCACGGCTCAAACCCCAGCTGCAGAACAAGGTCTTGGAGCTCCGGTGCAGCTCTGCCCTGAGGCCCAGGGCAACCCCGCCCTACAAGGAGGCTCCTGGAGCCGGGGAAGGGAAGGGGTGGCCACCTCACAGAAATCTGTCAGTGACTCATTTTCTTGCTCTGTCCCTCTGTGTTCCTGCGGATCCTACTCGTGGTTCCTGTGTAACCCTGACCACCGTAGAACTGCCTTGGCTATCCTGACTGAAAGAACACATCTATTGTTTTATTTCATGGCATCCCTTCTACTTTCGGCTTTGGGATGGCAGGAGACTCCATCTTATTTGAAGACTCCTGCTCCCAGAACTGCCATTGGTCATTGACTAGAAAGAGCAACACTAGTGGGCACTTTTCATCCCGGCTGAGTGACAAACGGTCCACGTCGATGGCAATTGATGACCAACCTATACTGGGAAAATGTTACCCATGTGCTCATGATGGGAACTGACGCTTTCATTTGTTTGTTTTTGTTTTTATACCAGTACGTTCTCCAGTGTTCAGTCAGGGGTATGCACGCACATCTAGAATCTGCGTCATGCCTCGTGGCTTACCATAGGGCTATTTGGTAAAGCAGCTCCTTGCTGCATTCACAAGGCATCAGTTCTAGTTCTGCCCTTAATGGGCTGTTAAGCAAGGGTAAGAACCTCAATGTCTCTGATCAGCTTCCTGATTAGCAAAACCAGAGTGAAATTAGTGGTCCCCTTCTTATGGCAAAAGAGGAAAATGAGGATGGCAAAAAGAGAAAAATGAAATGATATATACCTGTGCTGTGCCCCTCAGAGAGAAGGGCCAAGATGAAGGGGATTGGGTCTCACTTAATATCAACAGGCCTCCCCCTGACATTCTGGTGACTGTGGAAGCAGAATCCATGGTCCCAGGGAATATATCTCCTCCCCCAACACCCCCGGATGTTGGGGATCAGGCCAGGTTGGGCAGCATCACTCAAACACAGTGAAGGAGCCGAAGGTCCTGAAGAAGTGTGGTTGACAGGCTGACTAGAGAAGGCAGCCAAGGGCAACTGTCTGCATGGCCCAAATGGCCTCCACTGAGTACCTGCACAACTGTGGTTGACTGGTGGGATCCTGGGTTATGCAAGCAGTGAGAGGAGTCGGGGATGTGAGGGGGGCATGAGCACAGGTCACCCGGAGAGTGACGCAGATGAGGCTGCTCCACAGTGACACACACTCTCGGGAACTTGTTCTTATCAGATTAAACATAGACCACAGGACCAGCCAGCTCATCGGTGGCAGCGTTCTGCTAGCCAGCCCCACCCTGCCTGGCCTTGGCCGGAAGTGGAGCTCGGGCCCCTCCGGCACAGCAGCAGCTGCAGAACAAGGTCTTGGAGCTCCGGTGCAGCTCTGCCCAGGGGCCTAGGGGAAACCTGCCCTACAAGGAGGCTCCTGGAGCCGGGGAAGGAAAGAAGCAGCCACCTACACAGAACAATGGGAGGGGCTCTAAGACGGATCTCTGAGCGAGTCAGGGGTTCCATGAGCCCTGAAATTACAGGCAAAATTTTGGTGTGTACACCCCATACATTCTTTACCTGGACAATGAGCCCACACTTTTCACATCAGACTCTCCAAAGGATCCATGATCCGCCCAGAAGTTAGGAATGAGGACCCCATAAAAAAAGTTAAGGGATATGAACTTTCTCTATGCTGAGATGGATTCCCCATGGTCCAATGAGGACCCAAGTGTTATAAATAATAAGTCTAGCGGCCATCTGCTGACAGGGGCTTCTCACATAGTCTTTCTTCAGGGAAGAACCCCAGACTAAGCTCTTGGCTTCCTGCTCTTTGCCCTGCTTACTTAAGCTATCTGAGGCAAATACTGTAAGAGAGTTCCTGGTTTTGTCTTTGGACCAACAGACTGAGACTGCCCCATCCAATCCAAACTATACAATTATACCCTCATTTGCATTTAAAATGACCAATCATAATCATAACTCCATTAACAACCAATCAGGATACTACTGAATGCCTATGAATTGGGACCACATGATTGGCACCAATCAGAAACATACAATTTGGATGCCTCGTTTACATACAACGGATCTAATTGGGAACCTGGTGGGGAACTTTCCCTATACACAATGGCACACTTAGTTTCTGCCAGAAGCCGCATCTCCCCAGCTTGCAAACCATTCACCTGAATGAAGTCTCTCCATGTTCTAATAGTCTTTTGGGGGATTTTGGTTGACGGGAACCACTATTCTGGAAAGGTCTTCCTTATAGTTACTGAGGGCAAGGCCCTGACAAAACAGGACACCAGCTGGGGCCAGGGCAGTGGGGCTGGCTGTGTAGAAGGGCCAAAGGCCAGCATCAATTATTTTCTTGTTTGCCCAAGAACTGGTTCTGCTGCGACTGATGCCCTGAAGGACATCAAGTCAAGAACTTTCATCTCTGTTGGCCTTTCTGAAGGACCCCATTTTCCCAACACTGGCCCTCAAGAAAGAGCACCCCTGAACAGCAACCACACATACACCACAAGGCAGGCCGACACTGTGGTTAACCCCCCCCCCCCCCCCCCCCCCCCCCGCCCTGCTCTGGTATGGCTCAGTGGATAGAGCGCCAGCCTGCGGACTGAAGGGTCCCAGGTTCGATTCCAGTCAAGGGCACATGCCCAGATTGTGGGCTCTATCCCCAGTAGGGGGTGTGCAGGAGGCAGCCGATCAATGATTCTCTCTCATCATTGATGTTTCTATCTTCCCCCCCTCCCCCGCCCACCTCTCTGAAATCAATAAAATCAATAAAACAAAAACAAAAAACCCTCCACTCTGGGAGGGAACATCTAGGGGTTAATACAAAATAACCTGGAAGGCTGAATGTGCTGCTGGTACCTCGCCTTAAGGTTTTTCGGGGAAGCTCCTGAATTCTGACATGGGATCGGGCGGGAGTTAAAGGCCCTCAGCTCTGTGTGACCTGACCCAGGGCGGCTGTGGGTTTTGTAAAAGGCCCACACAGCCCTGTCCCTCCCAGGAAAGGCTACAAGGCAGATCCATCCTTTCTATACGAGGCCACCTCCAAAGCTGAGAATTCTAAAAACCCTCATCTGAGCCACATTTATAAATTATGATTCAGCAAGAGACCGTAGTCATTCTTCTCCCATAAAAAAACCTTCCCAAACGCTCTCCAACAGGTAGCTTTTGGGGTTTCAGGAACACGGAACTCTCTTCCTCTAAAACACCTAGAGAAACATCCAGCAGGTCTGGACAAGGGAGGAGTGGCCCGAGTTGCTGTCCTGCCTGTCCGGAGGCAGCCGCTTTTCTTGCCACGGGCATGCACCAAGCTGAGCTCTCACAGGCCCTGCCCTCTGCCCCCAGGTCTTTATCTCCTCTCTCCCAAGGCTTAGACCCTGCACTGCAGTCGGCCTCTGCCCCCAGCTGTTTCTGCCAGACTCTCCTGCGGCCCCTGCAGCCGCCACTCACCTCCTGACAGGCTGAGAGGGAGGGCTGGACCCAAGGGCTACCAAAGCTTGTTACACAAAGAAGCCAGGAGCCAAAACCGGTTTGGCTCAGTGGATAGAGTGTTGGCCTGCGAACTGAAAGGTCCCAGGTTCAATTCCGGTCAGGGGCATGTACCTTGGTTGTGGACACATCCCCAGTAGGGGGTGTGCAAGAGAATCGTTGATTCTCTCTCAATGATGTTTCTAACTCTCTATTCCCTCTCTTCCTCTCTGTAAAATATATTTAATAGAAATTAAAAAAAAAAAAAGAGCCAGGAGCTATTCAGATGATGGCCCCCTCACCCCATCTCTACCCCCTGGAGGTGGAAGGACCTGGACAAGGAAACAGAGGTCCCCGGAGTCCTGAAGGGAGGGATGCGAGGGGAGAGCAGGACTTCCGGGACCTTTGTACTGGCTGGGCGCCACCTGGCTCTCCTCGCTGAACAAAGAGTTCCTCTTTCTGGTGAGGCTCTAAATCCCTGACCTTTTTTATCACTGCTGCTCCGTGGGTCAGCCTTGGGGCCTTCTCCAGGGAGGGGCTGCCAAAAGAAGCTGAGTTCAGCAGCTACATGTGGGCATCATCAACCAGCTCCCTCCGCCAAGCCCTTCCATGCATCTCAGCACCTAAGAGGGGCTGCTTCACCCTGTCTGCACAAACTAGACCAGGGGTGGCCTGCCAGCCCGCCTGCCAGACTCTACAGCAGTGACCTGGTACCCCTGAGTACCTTCTCCGTGTATCTCAGCCTTCCCGCTGAGGTATCCCGTCCAGGTGATGGATAAAAATCCAGTGCAGTCCCCACTCTTTCGGAGCTGCTCCTGCTTAATGACACCCTCTGGGAGAATCCTTTACAGTCCCTGGGGGTTTTGTTGTTGTTTTCGTGTTCCTCCTTGTCCCAATTACAAAAAGGGTCATGTCCCACTCCCACCCCCACCACCGATACCGCCTTGGCTGGAGCTGAGAGCAGCGAGGACTGATGCGTCCCAGGAGAAAGAGGCTGCAAGGCTCCCCTCCAAGAAGCTGCTGACCACACTCCACCCACTCCCGGTCAGCAGAGGGCTTCCCCAGGCAGTGCTGGTGAAGGGGGAGCTGCCCCTGCGACACCCCCAAATGTTAACCCCCGAAGAACATGACACTTCCTTTTGTTTAGATACTAAACCTACTTACAGAACGTGAATCCCCAGAGCTCCAGGCCAACATTACCTTCGAGATGTAGGTCAGCTGCAAAGATCCAACAGCTCCTGCCCCAATTGCCAGGTTCTGAAACGAAATATGTTTTTCATTTTAAGAAGGATGCCCCGTGAGGCCACGGGAACAGCGCCGAGAGGCGGGAGACCACGCTTCCCGTTCTGTTGATGCCACGTACAGGCTTTGCAACCTTGAGCAAGTCACTTTCCCATTCTGTCGCTCCCTTTCCTCCCCTGCAAAACAGTGGTCATTCTTGCCTCTATATGTGTGCATTAACATTACCCAGGGCTAACGTATCACAGAGAGGTGTTAAAGTGTGGGTTCCACCATTAGACTATGAGGAAGTTCCTCTAATCTTCAGTTTTCCCTTCTGATAACCACGCTTACCTCACGAGGCAGTTGTGAGACTGAGTAAGTAAATGTAAGAGCACTTGGCCCCTAGATGACTCTCGGCAAGTGTGAGCTACTGTATTTTTTCTGTCCTGACTAACCTGATCCCCTTGTTGGCTTGGTCCTGTTTTATGCCACTTCAAAGTCTTCTCGTAATAAGTCGGGTACAGATTCACACAATACAGAAATCAAAGATACAGCTGGCCAGTCTATTTCACAGGACCGTTAATGTCCACACACTATAAAAGCCCAAAGTCAACAGACTACTCAAACAGCAAGAAACTCACTGGCACCTTGGGTGGCCATGTGTAACTTGGCAATCGCTTTGGCTTTCTAATTTCTCCATTGTCAGAAATGAAGCGATGATACAGGGATGACAGGGTAGCAGAGAGATGGCTAAGACATCACACCTGTGGAGTTCCTAATCTGTAACTTGGAAAACCCCTCCCCCATGGGCCTGAGAACCTGTCCATCACCTCTTAAACTGTTCCCATAAGCCGTAAAGAATAACCCTGAAGCCCCCACTACTTGGGTCACGGCAAAGTGATAAGCACAGGTGGCTCTTGGGTAATGGGAATTTAGTAAATTTCCTAAAGGGTTAACAGTGAAATGACCTGTCCTTCCGGGAGATGGCCCTTAAGAAACAGGCCCTTTAATAAGAGGGGAGAGTCCTTCTAGGCCCAATGATCTAAATTAACACACATCGCTAGAAGCAAATGTAACGTGAAATATCCTATTCATGAGAAAACGGACGGGAATCACACCATGCTAAGAGGCTTCTCGGAGCCTTCGGATTTCAGAGTAAGAAATCTAGGAAGAATGTCTTCCTTCCGACTCCCTTTTGTAAATAAGACCGTAAGTCTCAAAGCTGCCTTTCAGAAGCCAAAGTAGCATTTCAACTGTGACTTCATTTTGTTTTATTTTTTAGGAAAGAGAGAGGTCTTACCGCCCCTAAATCAAGAGTCCAAATGGAACCCCAGCACCCAGATGACTACCCCAGAGGGGAACATAAACCACTCCAGGCAGACACTCAGCTCCTCGGGGACTGAGGCGTCCAAAAGCAGGCCCAGGTCTGCGTGGCCCCCAGAGCCACATGGAGCCATCGGCCTCTCCTGGACGCTGAGCACCTCCTCCACCGCCAGCCCCTCATCTTGTTCCTGAAAAAGTGACTTGTGAGGGAAGGGCTTTGTCCAAGGCAACATAATTGGTGGCACAGCCCGAACCACAGCGCAGGTCTCCTGACTTCACCCCGATGCCCTGATAGAAGCAACACTGTAATTTTAAAAAAGCTTGAGCTGTTGGAATTCTAGCTTTAGGACATTAGTGCAGCGGGACTGTATGCAATCATGAGCCCGGCTGAATAGCTTGTTGGGAGAGTGACGTGAAAATACATAGAGAGCTGAGCCATGGCGGTTCCTATCTCTGACCCGCATGCTAATTACAAGGTGCAGATGCCAAGTCTCAGGGCTGGTCTTGCACAACTCAGTCTTCTGGCTCCAAACCACAACCCCAAGGCCCCCAGGGCCCTATCTTGAATTATAAGCGATGAAGTAGGTTTGGGGGAGCCATTCGGACACTAACCCAAGCGCAATGACAGATAGGAGCCGATCAGATTTCAACTACTTCATTGTCTCCACCCTCCACGGTTGCTCCACCCTCAGTCCTGTGCTCCAGAGAGAAAGAGACAGCAGTTCTCCAGGCCCAGTTACCCTGGGGGTGTTCTCACTCCCTTCACCCACAGCCCACCCACGGTCTGCGGGAGGCTCACGCGTACCTCCTCTCCACCAGGAGAAGCCAGGAAAGCATGACAAACGTCTGCAAAAGCGGTTTCCCCCCACTGCCCTCGCCTCCCGGAGGGAAATGAGTGACAGGAGAAAACAGTCCCAGGATCACAGGCTTGATCCAGAGCGACAGCTCCGTGTCCACTCCAATTACTGGGCCCAGGAGATTAATGGTGACAGCGCACTGCCAGTGCGGCAGCCCCAGGCAGACACTTCTTGCTCAGGGAAGATGGTGCCAACATGCCGAGTTGTGAGGGCCTCGGCAGCCAGATGTCAGGGTAGGACCAGCAGGAAGCAGCACCTGGGGAAGGGCAGGGTGTCGGGGACCAGCAAGCTGCCCCTCCCGGCCACAGCCCCGTCTGCTCTAGGGAAACAGCATCTTCTTGGAGCATGCTCCGCTGACCGCAGCCTGCCCTGGCCTCACCTCTCCCTGAGTTCACGGACACCAACCCTTCTCCAACTTTGCTGCTCATCAGAACCTCTGGGGGAGCTTGTTTGAGAAGGCCCAGGCTCCAGCCTCGCCCGAAAAACACTGAATCAGAATCAAGCAGAATGTGGGCAGAACATGCACATTTTTTTCAATGCTCCCAAGTGATCCCTTCATACGCCCAAGTTTGAGAACAGCTAGTCTACATGACATAATCTCGTCCTGCATTCTGTATTGGAGGATATTTTTTCTGTGAGTTTGTCTCTTCTTACTAGATTTCAAGCACAGGGAGGACATAAGTACAGTCTTATTCCTCTATACAGCTGACTCGTCGATAGTGTTTTAAATGAGAACGCTATCTGTATGGTGGTTGAGTTCCCAAACCAGTCCACAAACACCTGCTGCCCTCATGGAGGACTGGAAGATGACGCCGCTCCTACTGCCATGGGCAAACAATGTTTCTTTGGGAAGATTTGTTCACGTTTAGAACTTGAGTGTCACGTGACTTTGCAGTTCCCATGACCTGGAGCTGGTCTCTTGTGGGACAGGAATTGAGTAAAGGGAGACATGAAGGGCTGAGTCCCAATTAAAAAAGAGGTCAAGGACTTGGGAAGAGGAGGTGAGGAATGGGCCAGGAAAAGGGGCAGAAAGCATCTAAGATGAGAGCACCTGAGCAGATGAGGAGTGGAGACAGAGGCTGAAAGGAGGGCTGCTATGTGAGTCACCTGGGGAGATTTTTAAACAAATTCAAGCTTCATCCCCAGGGATTTAACGGGTCTGGGGTAGGGCCTGGGCACCTGTATGTTTTTAAATGTCCCAGGGGATTCCTCTGTGCCACCAGGCGTGAGGACCACTGGTGCAGACAACTGTTGGTCCTGCTGGCTCTGCGCTGGAGACACAGCAGCAGGTGAGAGGAAGGGCCACGCCCAGCCACAGCCCACAGAGTGGCTCTGGCTGCAGCAGCATAGTAAACAGAGACATGGAAGAGCAGGGCAGGGCCGTGAGCAGGAGAAGAGAAGGGATTCCAGCTGTATGCAACCTGTACACCTCTGGGACTTGTAAATTTTCCGGAACAATGTAGGGCACAGAGCAGGTTCCTGTTAAATGATGGCTTTATGAAGACACTGCTGTCATCTTGCTTTTTGCTCAAATGTTCTGTCATCAAGGACCTCAAAGGAACTCCTACTCTCCACGAGTGGAAAGCATAGGGTTGTTTCTTTTCCATCACTGAGCACGGAGCTGAAGGGCCCACCTCTCCCATGACATACCTCCATGGTTAGCCTTTTTCCTAGATGCTATTTCTTGTTGAAATAGAAAAATTGTCTCTTCTTCTAGTGAAAGTAACAAGAAGCACAGAAATGACCAGAAGACCTAACTATGGATTCACACATTCACAGCATGTCAGCACTAGAAGGTTCTTTTGATGCCTCATCATTCACCACGTGAGACTTCCTCATGGAGCAGAGAGAAGACAGAGCTCATTGCTCCCCATACCAATCTGCTTGCTGCTTTGACAAAATGCACAGCTTGAGAAAGAAGAAAGGGACAGATTCATATTTAGATTATATCATGCACCAAGCCTGCTGCTAGGTACTTTTGCATGTTGCCACTTAATCCCAACAATCCTATTTTACAGATGAGGAAACTAAGGATGGAGCAGGCGAAGCAACTTGCCCAAGGTGACAGAGGTCCTGAGGAGTCCGGCCAGTGATGGACTCAACCCTTCCTGATTCTCAAATCCCATGCACTTTCCTTTCTGCCTGCCATCTCCCATGAGACTATCCTTCAACTATACAAGGACCTGCTCATTATCTAAGAGCTGATTATCAATGAAAGGTAAACACAAGAGCAGGACCAGCAAGGTTACACCAAAAGAGGCTCTGTAGAGTTGCCCAAGCTAGGCAGGGCAGGAACTAGTCAAACTGGCTCTTAGGTGCCAAACTCCAAAAGACTAGGAATTCAGAATGTGGAAAGGGGGAAGGAGAGCTGCCTGTGCCCTCTGACCTTCTCTTCTGTCTCTCCAGGGTTCCTAGCAGACAGCAAGGAACACAGCAGGCAGTCAACACTAGCTTGTTAGTCAACTAGTGGGAAAAGGGGAAAGAGAATACATGCGGAAACCCCACCGCTGAGGCATGAGCCAGCATGACTGCCCAGGGGCTGAAACCACAACTCAAACCACCAAAGGATGAGGCCAGACACTGACTCTCAGAGAAGGACTTGCCCTAGAAGAGCAGCATGATGGGAACGGAGGGGAGAGCACAATTCCCTCAGCCCCACATTCCACAGTCCTCGCCAAAGGAAACTAAGCAAGCTGTCCCCAGGCATTAAGTGACCCAGGCAGTGGCTTCACCTGCCACTCTGGTGTCAAACACATCTCCCCTCTACCCTGTAGCTCCATTTCCTGGTACTAATTGGGAGAAAGGCAACATGTCCATGGCTACTCTCTCCATTCTCCGGTTCAAAAGATGTATTTA